TAATTTGCTACTGGCTGTATCTACTTATCTCCCTTAGTCTTACTTTGCTTTCACTTCAGAGAAGAATGTCTTTGAAATTATACCCAAATGTCCTGTGGCATTCCTCACAAAGATTAGAGAAGGGTTCAGAACCTCTCATCTAAACATCTCTATGAAGTGAAAGCTGCACATTTGGGGTTTTTTCCCCTACTGCACAGAGTGCTGAGGACTGTGGCATTTAGCCAGGCTGAAAAACAATTTCCTGTATGAAAAAGCGCGTGTTTTTGTAAAGATGGTAGCAGTCATGGTGAAAGCTGAAACAACTTCCAATTCAATTTAAAGTTAGCAGTCCACTTTGAGTACTTATCTATAATTGTTTTATAGATATAGGTTTTATATTAAATATAGATAGATACACACACACATAGGTTTTATATTAATCCAAACATATCTATTGAGAGAAATATTTCTGAAATCTTCCACCATTGTAGTTTGAGATGCATATTATAGCAAATTATTCAGAACACAACAAATGTAGGCATGATTTACGTTTTCCCAAGAGCTCCAAACCAACCAGCTATTGAGTTTAATATACTCAACTTTGTTCAAGTAGATACTCTAAATCGTTTTTAATGGGTCACACAAATAGCCCAGGAACAGTTAGTGAAATGAAAGCTATGTAGCTGGCCTTCACATTCATATCTGGATAACTTTTACAGTATGTCCAAATTGAAACAAACAAAATAGATATTAGGTTAACTCTTGCACTTTATTTGGCAATCTTGATGCATGGAAATCACTGCGTAATCACTCACATATAAGTTCTTTTTTGATATTCAGACAAAGAAACATAGTCCAGAGAAACCCCATTCTAAGTTCAGAATTTAGTGAAACAGAACATGACACAACCAAAACATTTGTTAACAAGTATATTGACTGTAGACAAGTTAATACATTCAAGAAGAAAACAGGATAATTGTAATGCATTAATTATTGAAGAAGTTATAGCAGCATGAAAAGAGGAAAAAATCACTAGGACACATCTGAGAACAATTCAAAATCCTTGGTAGGGTCAGAAATGAGGAAGTTCTTTAGGTACTGCAGATCCTGGTTATACGCAGAATTCTCCAGAACTCAGGACTGAATATACTGTAACTGACTCCCGAGACAAGAAGTCAAGTATCAGAATGAACACGTTTGGATGCTTAGCTTACCTTCAGTTTGGACCATTCTTTTACAGAAATACTTGGAACAAACCACTAAGAGTACTAAAGGGAAGCATACTAACACCTCTCACCATTCCAAATGCAAGCCCATGCTCTGCAAACCAAGCAGATCATAGTGAAATGTATGTGATTAATTGTGAGGTAGGGACAAGGGGACTTTGCAAGCTGTATGTTCTGTGGTGACATGATCTATGGTGCCCCTTTCTGCATAGTATGTATATATGTATATGTACCTAAGATGTGGCTAGTGAGGAGCCAATGAAATGATAGCTCTTGGTATCCCCATAGAGTATGCAAAAGCCCCTGAGTAGTGAAGGGAACATCCTCCCAATCCCTTTGGAAGCTTCATAGCTGAGCTCCAGATGAGCCTGCCAGAGGCTGTATTCAATGATAGGATTTTACTTTGATGTAAAAGATCCTGAAAACTAACATTAGAAGGCTTATGTGGTTTTTAATGCATTAATAGTCAGCATAATTACGAATTAATGCCTATAACATGCATTAAACATGAACAGCACTAAGTGCTAAATAATTCTTAATTAGTTATTATAATTACTATTAAGAATCCAATTCCACCACTCTAAAATAAGTGGAGTGGACCTTGTAAGCATTTATCAGATAGAAGAGTCTTTCTCCTTGAACTGGGATTGTAATCATCATTGACCAAGCTAGCAACAGCAGGTCTGGTTTTACTGCTGGTTTTAACATGAAGGACCCATGCAACAAGAAATACCAAAACTCCCCAAGAAATAGGCAACTATAGCCACACAAAGATATTGCACACGAAAGCTCTGCAGTCCTCAGTAGTTTCTAGAGGAAAACATCATATCTTCAGTTTTTCCCTAAAAAAAAAAATGATTAACTTTTCTTTATAGTTATCCATTGACATAATCATTACATTTTTCTCCAGCAGCATCAACATTGTGGATCTGCTTATCTTACACAGATAGTATGTTGGTATAACTGCTCAAAACAGGTAAGTTTACAGTAAGGTAAAACATGGGATGGAGAGTCAGACTGTTACACAGCAATGAAATTGCTCTTTTGGGTTATTCACATTCATAGATAGATGTGCTGAAAACATCCAATCACAGTCAACAAAGGAGATCATCTGGTAATATTATGTATTATATTTGAAAACATATAGCTGGTTGCAGGTGTGGCCGGGCCCAGGGACATGGAGGTGATCCGAAGCAGTGAGTGATGGCGGTGCATGGGTGTGGGGCCTGGCCAGGGTGTGGGCCTGCGTCTCACCTTCCTCCTCACCTTTGCTCGGGGCCTGGCAGGCGGCCCCCGAGGCCTGGCCCCGACCTGTGTCCTCGGCGCTGCAGCCGCTGTCGCTGCCCTGAAGCAGGAGGGTGCTGGGCACCCTGCGCCGGCTGGCCTCTCCCGGGGCGGGCGTGGGGCTCAGGCACGCAGTCCTTGTCTCCCCGCAGACTTTAAGGACACACTGAATAAAGCGTACGATGCTGTGGAGGAAGCAGACTTCCTGGCCATCGACGGGGAGTTCTCAGGTAGCGACGGTACGGCCTGGGGCTGTGGGCAGCTGCCCCTGCTGCGCGGCCTTCCCTGGCTGCAGGGGTCTTGGGGGAAGAGAGAGAAAGCACCGGCTGCCTCAGAGCAGGAGACGTAGATGGATCAAGGAAATGCCCAAACGTGGCCAGCAGTCACTTGGCAGCACAGCCCTCTTCACACTCATCCCCTTGCCCCCTGCTTTCAGCAACGCAAGGGCTCATCGGCACCGTGTTGCCAGTCTCGCATGTTGCTATGTCGGCCTTGCATACATTGCAAGCGTAGGGCAGAGCACGGCCTTCCCAGGTACTCTCTGAACACATAGCTTCACTGTCTGTTGGGAGTTCACTGAGTTTTGAATGACAGCAGTTAAGTAGTGGGTGTGTTTTCAAGATGCGTGTTCATCCCTGATGAAAAGGTGCTTTTAACAGAACGGGAACTTTCTGCTGTGATACGATGTTCTGCACCTTAAGTAGAGGCAACTTGCTTAATCCAGCTTTCAGTGCTTTTCTCACTCTCTTTAAGGGGGGTCAGTAAAATAAAACTATTCCTCAAATTTTTAGGCATCGTGATGGGCCATCTGTTAGTGCATTAACCAATGGCTTTGACACACCAGAAGAAAGATACCAGAAACTTAAAAAGGTAACTTTTCAATGTAACCCCTGAAACCTTTTGCCTTTCTTTGTAGGTGGTACAGTGTAACTGAGATTATGCCTGTTTATTTCAGGCGTGTATCAGTGTGTGATGTCAGGCACTGTATGGAGACCAGAAGATTTTTACTTGCCTTTTCAATATGGCTGAGAGAGAACAATTTGAACGTCATGAATAAGATGCGGTTACTGTCTAACTTTGCTTGTAGAATCCAGTATTAGCCTGATTATACAATACAGAAGGTACTACACTTATTGGGTCAAAATACTTATTGACAAAAGCAATGCTGTGGGGTGGTGCACACAGTTGTACCCCCCTGAGTCAGATCAGAACTGAACAGGGCTGTGTTTTGCTCAGGGAGCCCCTGGGATGAAAGGAGCTGTCATTTGCCCAGCTACTACTGAAATGCATGCCCAGCAGGGCTATGTACCCAGAAAATTTGGTATTAACTTCCTCCGAGCCCTCTGGCTTGTAACTTCAAAGTATTCTGCTTTAGATGTATACACTTTAAAACAATAGATGAGTTTCAGTAGCCTAGTGCTATGATTATTATGAAGTTCCAACACTGCTTATTTTTGAAAGAGCTTTCCGCCACTGCTTTAGCAATTGTCAAGTGCTTGATGGTACGATTGTAAAACATCTGTGCTCAGTCTATGCTAGTGCTTCTGCCTGTGTGCATTGATGCTACCTGTATGCAGTACCAATAGGATGTAGTTGGGGAACTTCATCATTTATGTTAATACGGTATCTGATCCTGTGCTCAAAGGAGAAAAAAGCCACCAAACAGAAGCCCTGGCTGTCACACGAAATGGTGGTTTTACAAGGGTTTATGACCCTTGTCGCAGATGATACCAAATTATGGGGCAAAGTTAATACACCAGAGGGCAGGGAGCAGTTACAGGCCAACCTGGACAGGTTAGATCAATGGGTGGAACGTAATAGGATGCAATTCAACAAAGATAAATGTAAGGTACTCCACCTAGGAAGGAGGAATCCCCAGCACACCTACAGGTTGGGGGATGTCCTCCTCAGCAGCTCAGAGGCTGAGAGAGATCTTGGAGTCATAGATGACTCCAAGATGAACTGAGCCGGCAGTGCAACGAAGCCATCAACAAAGCCAACTGCACCTTGTCATGTATTAGCAGGTGCATGACCAACAGATCAAGGGAGGTGATGCTCCCCTTCTATGCAGCACTAGTCAGGCTGCAGTTGGAGTACTATTTCCAGTTTTGGGTGCCGCACTTCAAGGGGGACATGGAGGATCTGGAAAGGGTTCAGAGGAGGTCCACCCACATGATTAGTGGTCTCCATGAAAGACCCTACGAAGAGAGGTTGAGAGATCTGGATCTCTTCAGCCTATACAAAAGATGGCCGAGGGGTGACCTTGTGGCCACCTATACATTTATCAGGGGAGGACAGCAGGGAATTAGGGATGCGCTGTTTTCCAGAGCGCCTCAGGGAGTAACTAGGAATAATGGGTGCAAACTAGTGGAGAGTAGATTTAGGTTAGACATTAGGAAGAACTTTTTTACAATAAGGGTGGCCACAGTCTGGAATGGGCTTCCAAGAGAGGTGGTGCTGTCACCTAACTTGGAGGTCTTCAAGAGGAGGCTTGACAATCACTTGGCTGGGGTCGTCTGACCTCGGTCCTCTTCTTGCCGGGGCAGGGGGTCGGACATGATGATCCATTGGATCCCTTCCAACTCTATAATCTATGAATCTATAGGACTTCCAACCTGAGTGAGTCTTTCCAAAAGCAAGCGTCTAAGAGCAGGCGTTTCAAAAATAAACACCCCAAACGTACACCTTCCACAGTATTGAACACAGGCCATGAAGGGAACTCACTCAAAGAGTGTACAAGCTTATTAGGGGGGTCATCCCCAGGATGACTTAAGGCTCCAGATTATTATTTTAATATAAAACTATATACTTTATTATAAGAGTGCTTATTATCACTAGAGTATCTAGGTACCTAGATAATTCAAGGAAAACAATTACAAAATACTAAAAAGAGCTATAACCTGCTTAAAAACTCTAAAAATCAGAAAACATAAACACCAAAACCCAGAAACCTGGTATTGTTTTAGTTTTAAAAAAATCCTTTGTTTATTAAAAACCAAGGAATTAAGTGGGCATTGGTTAGAGTATTCAAAAGCACCAAAATGACTTAGGAGGTTAACTGTCATTTCCAAAAAGGAATCCCTCCTACTTTTTTCATTCTATCCAGGAACAGCACACACCAACTGCTGAAGCTTCCTTAGCCTGACGAAGGGTTTTTGAACCCGAAAGCTTGCTTAATAACTATTCTCCAACTATTTGGGTTGGTCTAATAAAAGATATCAAATTCACCCAAGGAACCTTGTCTGCCTCCCTCCTACTGAGGCACCTAACTTTGGCATTAGGTGCCTAAATAGCTTCAAGGCCTTTCAGTGAGATATAGGCATCTAAGTCACTTTTGAAAATAAGTTATAGTTGCTTTTTAAAATATTATTCACTGTAAAGTAACAGCAGGCCCAAGGTAGCATTATTTTTCCTACTCTGTACCCATCTCCAGAGTCCATATCATGCATGGGTGGAGTTTCTGTTTTCAGAGTAATGTTTCATGGATATTCTTAAAAAAATAAACAAGCAGCAATAACAATTCAGAAACTGTGAGAAGTCCCATAGCAACTCTGTCAGTTTTCAAATGATGAAGGAATGAAAGTTCATGAGAAATTCTGGAAATCGTAGTGTCAGTTAAAAGGGCACTGGAGAGGTTCTTATAAGCATCAGTAGGGACTAAGATAAAAAAAAATGATTGTCTAAGTTCTCAATGCTAATGTCAGTTCTTGTGCCATCTCTCCCCCTCTCCCCTGATATGCACTTCACAGGTACCCTGGAAACTGCCTTCTGTTTCCATTAGTGATCACTACCCTTATTTCCTATTCTCTCCTAGAATCTCTCCAGCTGACATTAATGTCACCCATACCCACCCTCCTTGAACCCTTAAAAATGAATTCAGGAACTGGGGGGGTTAATGGCATTAACACCACAAATGCTTCACTGTTAAAAATATCCAGTATTTTCCAAACTAAAGGAGCACACTGGGAGCTTTTTTTCTATCTCTACAGACAAGAGTCAGATGTTAGACAATTCTGCATTCAGCTTCTCCATTGTCCTTGGTAGGAGAGAAGTTAGATTCTTGTTCTGCGCTCGATTTCCTTTCTGCTGAATATTGGTCCATTTCCTGAACTTCTAAAGTCACCTTATTCCTTTTGGCAAATGCCTGGCTGATTTCATGAAGAGTCTTATTTTTTGTTTCAGGTAGGACAAAAAACAGATACGTAGCTCCAGTAAGGCAGATGACAGCAAACACCAGGAAACAGTATGTCCGCAAGCCACTCTGTGAATAGAAAAGAAAGGAAATCAGTCTTAAAGGGGCAAATATCATAAGAACAAAAATCAATGTCTAGGAATCATTTGGAAAAAAAGCAAGTGCATGGAACTGAATTTTTATTGGGAGACTTGAAGCAATTTCTGACAGCATACAGTAATAATACTGAAATACAGCATACAGTAATAAAAGCAAGTCGGAGCACAAGCCATTAGCTCTTAGAAGTTGCATAAAAAAGTACTGGTAATGACTAATCTTTAAACTAGTTTAGAAAGAGAAGATAGAAGGAAGTTCCCTCTACATTCATTCAATGGGCTGTCACATCTGGGTTGGCCTTAAAAAATGGAAATCACAAAGATGGAAGCAAGATTCTGCTAGGGCAATCCAAAGCAAGTGGGGAAGGAAGAAATGCAACCATAGCTCCATTCCCTCACTCACACAATTGAAATACGGCCTGGCTTTGGTCAGCACCTCTGAACACCAAGCTAGTTCTGATTTACGTGCCTAAACTAAGGATTTAAACCTCTGGGTTGGAAAACGTTGGTTTACATTACTAGTAGCCAGAGGCAACCCAAGTAGGGTGCGGGGCCCGGGGCAAATCAGCCCATGCAGGGCCCTGTCCCCACTCTGATCCTGGACCCAAAGAAGTTGCTGCTACCATTGGCAGCAGCAGTGGCGGGGAGGGGGTCGCAAGCAGCTGGACATGAAGCTGCTGCTGCTCCACCCAGCTCCGCAGGCCCCCCCAAAGCACGGTGCCTGGGGTGGTCACTCTGATTCCCCCCCTAGGGACAGCCCTGCTAGTAGCACCCATTTCTATGCAAGTAATACAACAGTAGGAATTTGTCATAGCCAGGTGTGAGCTGCATTATAATAAGTAATCACAGATTCTGAGACTGAGGGACTCAGTTTTTAAGGGATATACAGTAAATACTTCTCAAAAAGATACCCTTCTCAGGTAAGTAATTAGAACTTACTGCAAATGGGCACAAGCTATCATACTGTTCTCTGTCCATTTTGTCCAATGGGCATTAAATACAAAATGAAGAAATATTACTGTGGGTGGGAATGCAAGCCAGAACCCAGGATTCCCACCCTTCCATCTCACTGAACCATTTTTATACTGGTTTACTTTCCTTATGGCCCCACATAGTTTCCCCTCTTAGCTGTGCAGTGGATCAGCTTCAACAGGAGTTGAGGGTGTTCTTGGAAAAACTTACATGGCTCCTGGCCTGCTTGTTAAGGAACTTTTTTGGAAAGTGTTAGATGTGGGTATGCGGAGCTAAGAACCCAGATTTCACATTCTTTGGCCAAGCGCCTACCATCACGCTACTGGGCTAAAAGGTGGGATGGCCGTCTCTGCTATTGTCATAATTTCTGAGTGACTCCCTTCCTGGCAGAGAGTAGAATCCAGTGTCTGTATAAATGCTACTTGCCCATCTAAAGCTGGACTTGGAGTTGGCTCTGTGTATTTCTTTACCAGTAACTATTCTGGTGAGCCTTTCTATGCAGGTGGTTGCTAGGTAAAGTTCTATGTTAGTGACTCTTGGATACGTTAGTCTCGGTAATGTTTTTTTTCAAAATATTCTATAGCATTTCAGTAACAGTACTGGAAACTACATATTCTTTAAATTGCAAATGCAAATTGTGACGCACTGAAGTCAAAGGCAAAAACTCTCATTGGCTCTACAGGGCCAAGTTTTCAACTCAAGTAAACATCGCCTTCTTCTCTGTATTTATGAAACCGTATTCACTTACGCCATCTGTATAGAGCCCAAACCTTTGACTTACTATTATTAGTAGCGCAAAATTAAACAAAAAGCCTTTTCTGGAACTACAAAAATACGGAAGTCTTTCCATGATGCGTTGTATGAGGTCATAAGTAGAGAATACAAGGAAAAAAATGAACATTTCCAACACAGACAAAAGCACATGTTCTAAGTCAGAGGTTACTGTAGGGCAAGTCATACAGAAGTCGTGAAGTGAAGGGCTCAAGAGAGTACATCATTTAAACACAAATAGTTGAAAAATAGCTGAAGAAACTCCATCAAGGAAACCAGTTCTGAGAAACCCTCTTCCCCATATCCCTCAGGCATCTCTGTGTCTTCCTCAAAGCTGGCCTTCTACCTAGTCCCCTTCCAAAACTCATGCATAAAACCTCTGTTGTCTCTCATTTAGTTTCTTCCTAAATTTTTGTTCTGCATAATCCTAAGAGAAATGAACTAATTAAAGTGTCATGTTTACACACCAAAACAAAGAGTCATTATGTAACCCTGATTTCCCTCAAACTTATATTTTCATTATGATTTGTATTCCCATGCCTACACTGCGGACTGTTTACACCTTTGTTCTTGTTTTGCAGACTGTCAATGTGTGTTTGTCTGTACAATGCCTAGCAGTATTATATACGTCCCATTCGGTTATCCAATCTTGCATCAGCTACGTATTCACGTACTTAACTGGTGAAGACAAAAAAGAAATTCCCTCACTCTCATTGTTCTAATATTGCATCTGAATTACTAATGTATTAAGCCACAATGTTACCATGGATAATCTATCATCAAGCTTAAAAACAGGCAAAAGCAAATAGATTTAATAGATATGGAAATAACTTCTTGGTGTGTTCATAAATTCTCCTGTCAGCTTAACAACCAGAATTTGCACCAGAGCTTTCTACATTTGAAGAAGTTTAATAAGGTTTCAGTTTTGTGTTTGCACACTTGTCACCTTATTCCTTTAAATCCATCATTTAATAATGTCTCTGCCTACGAATTAATATGGACTTACATGGCAACTAACTGCTTATGTCTATTTTAGAGAAATGTGCCACTTGCTATTTTGTCTTCACACTCTCTTGTGTTTATGCACTTCCTGTTGTGTATTGTCTAACTCAGTGGTTCTCAACCTTTTTAGACTTGAGGCACCCCTGAGAAAATGCTAGCTTTCACTTCTTTTTTTGACTACAGAAAAATAACAGTAATTCTTCTGTTGCAAAGAACTCAGAAAGAGCACACAGCAGGTCAGAGTGTTCTTTATGCTACACCTTACTGCTATTTGGAATCTCTGGGTTTATCTTGTGAATCATGTTTGCACACCCAGCTGTGCAAATATTGAATGGATCTTAAGGCACTCCAGGGTGCCATGGCACCCTGGTTGAAAATCACTGGTCTAAGTAGTGATCTCTCAGGAGAAGATACTTGCTTTGTGCTACTGGTCTGCAGAAATCCTAATATAATGGGGATCCTGAAGTGGGAACACTTGTGCAAGATCAAAGTGCACTCTCCTCACAGTCCCTTTTTTATTTGTAGTATTTCTTTGAAAGTAGCAGATAATTTATGAAATATGGAAGATATCACAGTAAGGAGGTATTACTTCTGAGCACTGAAAATGCCCTGCAACAGCTTGGTACTCAAAAATGCGTTCTTGTTGAAACATCCCAAACAATTATTGAAAGGTTTCTTGATACTGCCAGAAGCTACACCTAACATGAAAGCATATCACATGGAACTGTGTCCATTTTACAATGTGTTATGGCTCATCTAAAGCATGAAACCATCTACATACAGTGCAAACTCACACAGAGAACAGATGGAAGAATACATTTCACACACAATATTGCACAATGTAAAGGGTCAAATCTTGAATACTTAGTCAAGAAAACTCTCAGTGGGGACTTCAGTATTAAGTGGCTCTAATAGTTTAATTTATTTGTAGCTATGTCTGAAGCACTAGGTTCTGACTGGTGCCATAGGCAAGATTCTGGACTTCACGGAACAATTAACTGATCAAGCACAGAAACTATTATGTGCCTAAGAAGCAAACTGTAATGGGAGATCATTTGTATAAGAGCTCAACTACTAGAATGATGCTGTAATAAAACAGACTTTAAAAGAGATGCAATAGGATGATGTGCCTGGGTCTTTATCCTATTTAAATTACATGTATAGTCTCTTACTCGTATAATGTCTATGTGCTGTTTATGGACATGAAACACAGGTCTAGAATGCATTTTCTGATGTCTCCCTCCCTCTTGTTCACTGGCAACTTGATGGGTATGATCCAAAATCAGGACCACTGTGTAGCTACCGCTATCTAGGAGTCAAGACTGCTTGGTTTGACCTACATGGGGACCTGCCCAAGTAAAAACTGAACATGGTCCTTTTTTGGCTTCTCTGATGTCATGGTAACTTCAGATTTGCATCACCTCTCACTTTCTTAGCTCTGGACTCAATTCTGAAAAATTGAATTCACTTCTGTACTCTCACTGACTCACACGCATAAAGATTATGTGCAAAATAAAGGCTTTGCAGGCTTGCTGAAGGTTTAACAATGGCAGATGCTGACTCAGAAAACCCCTTTGTGTGTGTTCATTCATTTAAAATTGGAAAAGAACAATGAAATACGTTTGTGGACTTGATGTCATTATTTTAACCAACTGCAGAAGATACTGGCTTAATTGTACTCAGCATTGTGTTTAAAAACAGTTGTTGTTAATTATTTTATTTCCCTCTGGAAATTTTTTACTTTTCTCTAGAAATCCATTTGATGCTTTGTGGGTATGGGGGAGGGGGATGCAGGAAAACAAACAAAAACAGCTTCAAGTTTCTGCCTGAATAACTGCATCTTTTAGATTTTTTAGTTTCAAGGGAAAAGATAAAAACATTTAAAGGAAAGGAGATAATTTCTGCCAAAAGTTTTATTTGGTCAAAAAAGAAAGGAAAAAAAAAAAGAGGCAACAATTTCCCATGGAAAAACTTGCTTTTCTATGGAAAGTTTTGACAGTTCTTTTTCATCCAGCTCCTGGAATTTTGCACCAAACAGGTTTATTTTCTTCTCAATTTCCTGTAACTAAAAAAGAACTTTGCATGTGCAAGAAAACAAAATATCAATTTATCATCATGAGTAGACATAACCAGCTGACTCTGCTCTCAGAGCTTGACTCCCACTGATGAGAATGGGAAGGAAGGTGCTCTCACACATCCCAGGATCCCGTCTGAAATATGCTAAGTAGT